CATACTATTGATGTTTGAAGTTCATTGTGCCAGTTTTAAGTTAGTTATAGCAGGTTATCACAACACTGCTTACAAAGCACAAATTTTATGTGATTTACCATTGGTATATGCCTAGAAAAATAAGTCATTTTAAGCTGAATAATGGCACACAGTGCAACAAAATTGTGCCACATTAAACAAAAAAGGCACAACGCTCCCTCAAACAATATTCTGAACTAAAAGGAGTGCCATTTAGCAGTAAGAATGACTATTTCTGTCAAATAAGTCACTTTTTACTGATTTTCAGGACACATTTGTTGTTTAAATTTTCAGGATATAACTAAACTAAGATTCGTATCTGCAACATAAACAATTTGGTGGTTTGAGATGATTGATAATGCTGATATTGACTTCCAATAGTTGGTAATTCCCACGCTGGCTGCAGCAGTCACTACAGCTGATTAGTGGTACTCTAATATTATTAACTGTTTTTGACCCCTTTATGAACACATTACTTTTCGAAATAGATGCTTAAACTAACACTTGTACACCCATGGATCAAGAAATGGACAATTTTTGTCTTTTTACATCATTTATCTATATGACTGATATGCTGAATTTGGGCACTCGGGACATAATTGAGTGTAAGCAGTACAGAGTTCAAGCCGTCTTTTAACTGATTAATGGCACCTTCAATCTAAAAGTCAATAAGGTGACTGAAAAAGAGAACTGAAATTTCGATACTTATTTCATCAATTAAAAAAAGATAAATTTCAAGCTGATACATGTGTGACTTTTTGCTGATGGCTCGCACATAGACATGTAAGAATAAGTTTAAAGACACAACCAAACATTATCTTATCCAGAAAATAGCACAGTCACGCCTTGATCTTTTTAATATTTTGACAAGAACCATCAATAGAGTAGTCGTATTCAGATATAAAAATGACTTTTTGCTGGATTCTGTCACTTACTGGAATTGCTAATAATGACTAAAATGCTGAAAACAGTTACTCGCTCCAATCTACTAGTGTTATGTGAACAATATTTGAGCAAAATATGGCAAAATCGATGGAATTAGTCAATTAGGGGTTAAAATGGTTTGCTGATTTTTGGCACTCAGTTTAATTGCTCATAAGTCATATTCTGCTTGAGCCTGGCACTTCGTTTTTTCAAATCACAACTGCTGAATATTTTCACTTCATCCTATGTACAAATGTATGTTTGCACTTTAAAAAGCATTGCGACTTTTTCCTCATTTTGTGCACTCTACTTTGAAAAAGGTGAAATCAGCAACTCACCACACTTAAAAAAAACGTGTCCTTAATCGATAATTATATAATGGGTCCAGTGCCCACAATATTCATTCACATGACTTTGTGACCCTGATTTTTCTACCATTATCATCATATCCGTCACATAATTGTTACTTACTTTAAGTTGATTTTCGTCTAATATTTTGATATTTCAGCACCTCTGAATGGTTACCAGATATTATCTTGGAGCAGCCTCTAGACATACTCTGCATGAGCAGGGTAGGCAGATTTAACTTTTCCTTTCCAATTTGATTAGCCTATTTTACGTTTTCTGTTTCGTACTTTTTCGGATTAAATTACTTTTTGTTTTCTTAAAGTTATTTAAACTTTTCTAAAACCGCTAATTTTCAGGTTGAAATGAGTATTGGTTTTCTTTGCCTATTTATTGCTTTGGGAGCGTATCTCACTCTGGACCAAGTTATTGAAGCAATCAACATCGGCAGCTGAAGTTTTTAACTTACGAACTTATGATAGAAGTTAAAGCGATGGTCAGCTCATAAACGCCACATAAACAGAATAGGTATATGTATACAACCACCAAATGGTGGCGTTGTGAGCAGATGTGAACAGGGAAAATTGCAGAGGAAATTTCAACAACAATGAATTACTTTTTGATTTATTGCGGTGAATAATAGCTTGTTGATGATATTTTGATTTATTTGGTTGCTTTATTTGGGGATTGTGGACGGAGTTCAACAAAATTATCTGTTGCAATGATCATCTATTTGCTGTTCATTTTTTGAACTTGATTATCCGTACCAATTTTTTCACATAAATTATTTCTCTGTGCCGTTGTTTGGTTAATTTAAGAATTTTCTTTTCTTGTAACGTTTCCTGGCTAAAAGAAACTTATTTCATTCATTTCTAAAATCATTCATCGCTCATAAGCATAAGACAATCATTTCTAAATTTATTTGATTTTGTAAAGTGAAAGTACAATTTTTTTCGCATGTTGTAATGTGTCAAATTTTTGTGAACGAGGTAATTGAAGTGATTTTACATGTATTTAAAATTATTTGTTTTGTACTATCTGATTCTGAAGCCAATTCGCATGACTAATTGTTGAAGTTGATTGTTTTTCATAATATTTTCCATTATTTTTTTCACGGCAATATTTTCCACCAGTTTCTTTGTCAACACTGATGAATCATGACAAGGTTTTTATTTGGTGCTAAACATCAAAGCATCTAACATGTTAAGTCAAACGAAGATTTACGGTGCTGAACTGGAGCAGGTTTGCAGTCTGGTTGCGCGGCTCCAAACAATTAACAGGTAAAACCTGGAGCCGCGCGACCAAACCGAATCTGCACTAAAGTTCAACATTTATAGTGTTGATCTCTTTTATCGTCGTGTAATGATAAAGGGGATTAATCTTTGGGAAGATACTGTTGATAATATCTACTGCTATCTTGTGTTCTGTTCAATAAATTTGTTTGATCAAAAAATTCGTTTGTATTGTTTCTGTAGAAGTATAACAGTTTTGACAATCATTGTATTTATAAATTGAAGTGAGAAATTGGAAATATGATGTTATGATCCTTAATATTTATAAGTACAAATGACAAAGTATAGAGACAAATTTAATGTCTCTTAAAAAATACGAATACTTTAACTCAAGTACTTCATACTTTCAAGAGCCTGTTTCGATTTAGAGTTCTAAGTTTAGGGTGACTCATTTGTAGAAATAACGGCTGTTATTCATATCAGTGTGCAGTGTTGTCGTTGATTGACGTCTGGACGATGCCAACCCTTCGAGATATGCTCCAATGTGCAGTGGTTTCACATAACCATGAGTCTAGTCTTCACGTTCTACGTTACTGGGCCGCGCTCAGCCTGTCATTCCGCCAAATCTTTATCTATATGTTAATGAACATAATAGCCTGGGGTCCTCAGGTAAGTTCTACGTGACGCGCTTGTTTCACGGACGCTACTGTGTTCTGCAAGTGCAAGGGCTTTGGTTATATAGACTCTACTAACTACTTAGTTAAACTTTACTTTAAGAGCAATGCAGTGGTTAAGGAAATATTGGCCGGTATGATAGTTCTCAGTTCCGACGATAATGCCGAACGACAAGCTCACTGCTTCTACATTCTAGTTCTACTAATTCGCTCGCCAAAAATTTCACGTGACTTTGGTTTTTAAGGTTTTGCAGCCGCGTACAAAACGGTTTTAAATAAACCCTAATCCCAGCCCTAACAGTAACACCTCACAAAGCTTGGCGTGGCCATTGGCCTTGAGGGAAGATACTCGTCTAAATTTAAATTTCTTCGAAGTATAAGCGCGCTCCGGCCTCTGATTTCTTCTTGAAATATTATAACCCGAGGCAAGTGCTCCGGTGACCGGTGTCCGGGTTAGAACCTAATTCAATATCTGAATATATAATTATATACCAAAATGAAGTGCGCGCAAAAAATTTAAATTTTTACATTTTACCATTTTCTGGATTTTTACGGCTCGGGAAATTCTGGAAGAATAGCTAAATTTTAATGCTATCATGTGTGGCTGTGTTATTAAATTATCTCCATGAAAAATTTGCCGATATAATGACAACAAAATTAACTTGCTTAATAATATAATATAAAAATTAAAGGACATGGTTTTAAGTTTTTGGGCCCAAAAATCGATTTTACCTAAAGAAACTCGGTTTTATCATTTTAAAAACCATTTTTAATTTAAAGTCCCTAACGTATCGCAAGCAAAAAATTCCCGTGAGAGATTTAATTATACTATTATATTATATGCGCAGTTTATATCTCCGCCAAATTAAAAGCACATTCCCCAAATTAGTAACTTCTTTCAAACTTCATAAATCGAGATAAATTATTTTGGAATGTATTCAGAGTTAATATATGCACTTATACATTTTACAAATCACTTGGAATACTTTTGAATTAGAGAATGACAAGCTCAAGAACGCTACTGACGTATTTTTACATTTATATTGTTTTCCCGAGATTCCAATTTAACTTTAAGTTTAAATTGTTGATTTACGAAACTAAACGTTTTTCAAAACCATTGCCGTGCTAAAAAACGTGTGTAAGTAATTTATCATAATCAAATGTATAACAATTAATAATGATTAAACACATGCGTTAATCCAAAAGTCAAAAAGCAGTTGTCGAATACATCTAAAATTTTAGATGAGCCGCGCACATGGCATATTTTCACCAGTTCTCAAAATCGAGCGCTATATTACAATTTTCCATATTTTCACCAAGACTCTATTTAAGTTTCACAGGAGGTGACGTTTGAAATTTGAAACTATTTGTTTGTGACTTAAGTGCTACAAACTTGCCGAATTGAGCTTTTCACGATATCTTTAGTCATCTTTAGCGACACCGATCATGATCTATAATCTATGATATAAAAACTGCTGGCTTTAGGGTTGAGATTTGACCCGAAATTCTCTTCTTTCTCTCAATTTTCAATACAACGATTCATTTGTTACAGATTGGAAAATTACGTTGTCAATATTTTGGTAACTTTCGTATACAGTTAAATTGCAGTGAACTCATTTTATTGCTATTAAGTCATGACAGCTTTGGTATTTTGTCCTTTGTGATCACAATGAAAGTCTAATAAATGGTCAATTTAAAAATGAATTTATATTAATCTGGTTGATTCACTTCTATTTGTTCCTGCTACCTTCTTCTAATATTTCTCCTTTTCTTTTTTCTTGTCCTTATATAAGTCAAACAAATCTACATATTAGCAATACAGTCAATCAATACCTGAAATAGATATTATAAAGTAAGTTATCAGGCTCTGTCCATACATAGGTAATTCATATCTGTATTCTGACTGTATCTATTTAAAAGCCACTGATTTTTGAGTGACTGTGTGTCTTCCATGTACTTTTACCAGAGGTGGCACAAGAGCTTTTACTTGGGTATGCATTTTCTAACATGACTTAACTTTCCTCAGGTAAAAATAACATGGATTTGTTTGCTATGAGTTATGAGGAACCTGTGAAAACGAATGTGGTAAAACTTCAGTGTTTCATGAATAATTGTTTGTATTCCCATCAATTTATTTCGATTCTTGTGCCCTACAATCAATAATTTACAGTGAGTAGATGCTTTGTTCTATATTTTATTTAATGTTTTAAATTTACAAATTATGATCATTTTCTCGGTGTTTTCATGTGAAAAGTGTACCAACATATTATGTCATATATATGGCAGCAGTCATTTAGGAAATGGTAGTTCATAGTTTAAGTTAATTCATCAACAAACAAACTATAAATGTGGATACAGTTTTGGGGAATGGGAAGAGGTACACTAAATTTGGGTACAGTAATTTAGGGTTCTAACTTGTTCTCTATCTCACTTTTAAAGTAATAAACCAATCCTTTCAGCGAGCACATCAATGTGGGACTACTATTTTACTGGTCATAAACTTCCTCCTAATTCTTGGCTCTATTATTGTCTTGGTAAGTGTTAAATTAGAGACTATTTGTTGTTAGATTTATAAAATCAGCCCAATCAGTATGCTTTGCTTCACCATCGTCCTTATATAACATATATTTCCTCAATGCCACTATATCTACACGACTACTGCAGATAAGTACTTGCCACTAATATTACCACTAATTTTACAACCAGAGTTACCACTACAGCCACTGTTACCACCACTCCCACTGTTACCACCACTCCCACTGTTGCCACTACAACCACGGTTACCACTACAAACACTGTTACCACTACAAACACTGTTACCACTACAACCACTGTTACCACTACAAACACTGTTACCACTACAACCACTGTTACCACTATAACCACTGTTACCACTACAACCATTGTTACCACTACAAACACTGTTACCACTACAACCACTGTTACCACTACAACCACTGTTACCACTACAACCACTGTTACCACTATAACCACTGTTACCACTACAACCATTGTTACCACTACAAACACTGTTACCACTACAACCATTGTTACCACTACAACCATTGTTACCACTACAAACACTGTTACCACTACAACCACTGTTACCACTATAAACACTGTTACCACTATAACCACTGTTACCACTACAACCATTGTTACCACTACAAACACTGTTACCACTACAACCACTGTTACCACTACAACCACTGTTACCACTACAACCACTATTAACACTACAACCACTGTTACCACTACAACCACTGTTACCACTACAACCACTCATGCACTATTACCACTACAACCACTGTTACCACTACAACCATTGTTACCACTACAACCACATCTATAAAACTTTCCTGCAGATATCCCCGCACTGGTGTGAAGGGTCCTACACAGATGACACTGGCAGACAGCACTGCTTGTTCTACGGTCCGTATGAGCAGTGTTTTACGGCAACTTGTATCGCGAAATTTGCCATAGCAGATACCAAGAAGTCTATTGATCTTTTCGACAGTGGCTGTATCAAAAGTAAGTAAAGTAGACTTTGTTTATTTTATTTCAGCTTTCCCACATTTTACGTAATTATTGATCACTGAAATGCAGCTATAACATATAATGAACTGCGAAAAGTTAAAAAGTTAAAAAGTTAAAAAGTTAAAATTTTGTTTACAATTTGGCGGGATATCAGTTAAATCAGTGAATTCACCATTTCTGATTTTCAGTTAATATTCATGATATCGAGACAGCTGAGCCCAAGGACGGACACATCATCCATTGTACAGAAATATTTGTAGGAATTAACATTGGTGAGTTGCTGCAAGCTCATTGTTACATCTTCTGTACCTTATAAAACAGATAAACTTATTTGAGAAAATCTTAGAAAAAGAGGGACTGATCATTAGACTCGGTCCATTATATCGGCATAAACATATAATAATAATAATAAATGGTGTTTAAAACACTACAATTATACTCAGTATCATCTCTGTCAAGTAACCAAGAAAGGTTTTGTAATCAGTTCACTCCCTCTCAGGTTTATTGCTGTTATCTGGTATCTGTTATCTGATTGATATAAACAAAGATCTTGTTATCTTTAAACTGATCACCGGAATTTTCACTTCAGTCGGAGGTACGTGAAAAATGTTATAACCTTATTAGTTATTAATGACGGCTTAGTTATGTTATTTAGTTATGTTATATATCGTAGACACCTCAGGTCCATTTTAAACATCAAATGGCCTAAAGGTATGATAAGCAACAAAGCATTGTATGAACGGTGCAAAGTTGAAAAGTTATCCAATCGTATAATTGAACACCAGCGGTGGAAGATGTTTGGACACATTCTCAGGAGTATGGAGAACACCCCAGCCCAAACGGCTCTCTCTTTTGCAATTGAATCAGATAATTTATTCATTGGTAGATTGGGGAGACCTAGAATGAACTTGTTATCGGTTTTAAGAAGTGATTTAAGTAGTAGAAATTTGCAAATGGACAACTTGCATGAATTGAACGAAATTAGAGATATAGCTGCATGCAACAGATGTTGGGAAAATCTTTTTCAAGGGTACAGTTTAAGGTATTTTTAAGAATCATTTTTGTCGGTAAGATCCTGTTTTATAATAATAATAATATAATACAAAGAACATATTTTCTAGCAGCCCTCCAACTGAGAGATAATCTGCCGACTGTAATAATGTTAGAACTTCGCATGTTACTTTCTAAAACAAGATGTTTTGTTTTTTATCTGTCATTGTGTCGAATTACAGGTATTATATTGCCAAATAACTCTTGAACATTCTTCAGGCCGTAAGCCATTAAATGTATTAGAGTGCATTTTGTTGTGCCTTCTGCAGGGTTCGAAATGAAAATGCTATTATTAGCGAAAATAATTATCATCGGTTGTCCGTTCATGTCGACCTAATTTGTTTTGGGACTGATACTAAAGAGTAAATTAATAAAATTTCTGGGTAATTTACTTAAAATCAATTTATTGAACTTTTTCTGACAAAAGTGCTTTAAGATCACTCATAAAGTCAGATAAGAGGTTTCAAGCACTTTTGGCACATATAAAATGACAAATTGTAGCATTTTAAGCGGTTTCAAAAAGGGGTTTCTGAGAACCAGCGGTTGGTTTTAATGGTTTCTGATAGTTTTCAGGGATAGTTCTTTACCCATAAAATAAATTTAGGTTTAAAAATTCAGAATCTCAAAAATGGTCTTTAAGCAAATTTGTCAGAAAACAGCAGAAATGTAACTCTCTTTTACAGGTTGTCTGATGCTAATCTCACTGCCTCTCTTTGTGCTGACAACAGATATGGTTTACACCAAGATACCAACCGATGCTGATACTTCCGCTATAGGTTATAATAACATAATTTAAATATTAATAAAACGTTTAAAATTATTAAAAATAATAAAAGTGTTCCACCTCACATATGAGTAAAGTGCAGTGAAGTTCTTTAGAGCGCAGCCAATTTTCTCCAACACATATTCACTGTCACTAGTCTATGACACAACTAATTGCTCCATAACTGGTATAATTATCCTAATTAACTAATTATTACAGTGATGAAGACAGAGATGGGCGTGTCAGTATCTATTGGAGTAGGAGTTGGTTTAATGACTCTAGCAGTTGGCATCTACAATATTGTCCGGGGAAGGAGGATATTCAGGAAGAAAACTGCTCAACAGAAGTTGGGATTTGCGTTTGGATCTGGTCTGTAACGTAGTGGAGGGTGGTGAAAATAAGTTGACAACGAAATGGGAATTGTTTGAAGATTTAGTATTCGGGACCTTTTATGGATGGTATTTGCGATAAAGTTGGACCCATTATTTTCATTTCTTCGGTTAAAGGTATTTGAGTATTACAATAGGTTTAGATTACTTCGTTACTGAGTGTTTTTTAATCACTGATATAATACCAGAGAAAACTTAAAGTGAGATAAGATTAAAGTCCGGTAACTTATAATAAAGCATGTTATTCCGGACAAATTTAGGTTTTTTTGAGTATTAAATGTCTTACTTTTTATATTGTTTGTAACCATATTTAAGATTTTTGTAACTTTGTCATTTTTTGAATCATGTTTTTATGTCGTATGAGATGAACTGTTGTTACATGTGAATGTGATATATACATATGTATATTGTATGTCCAAAATTGTTATCGAGTATAGTTTTAAGTACCTTACTCGGGATTATTATGACCGGGATAAAGTGGTGGGTTTAGGGTAATTTCGCCATATTTTTCCCGAACCACATTTTCACCGGTCGTTAATAAACCCGCCTACTCAGCTTTTAGGGTTCCCAAGGGGTATGGGTGCTCATATTTTAATCGTTGTCTTATATTCACTAAAGAAGACTATTGGGACACTTGTTGTAGGTTTTTCGACTTCATTTGGCTAAAATTGCAAAAAATTCACCTTTTTGCCCAATTCTTGTCATATATCCTTATTGTCAAATTCGATTTAAATAGGCCAATTTTTAATTTCTTAGGTATTGACTATCTCTACATAATGAAATAGGACTCAAAGTAAAAGTAACAGTTAATTTAAAACTTGAATTAATTAAAACTGATGAAAGGGATGATCCAGATGAAGATAACGAAGATGATTACAACTTATTGGAAGACTAAACAGCTCTCCCTTTATCTTAATATCGATCTGGTTGTTACACTTCAAATGTTGAAAATTATTTTCCATCTAGTTTGATTAACCTCGAGTCATTATTTCTGTCTACTTTCAACAATTATTGATAATTCGACTTGTTTCACAAGTTTTAGCAATGCGAAAATGTCTAAACTTGCTTATCTCTAATAAGGAAATTTACATCTGAGACAAAATTTTTGAATCTAAAATTGAAAGGTTGGACACCGGTAAAATGGCGACCGGGAAAATGTGGTGGGTTTTGAGCAATTTCGCCATATTTTTCCCGAACCATATTTTAACCGGTCGTTAATAAACCCGTCGTAATAATCCCGAGTAAGGTATGTAATTTATTGGACTAACGTTTTTAACTTGCTTTGGATCTACAATTATAGGGTATCGGCTATTATAATATCTTTAAAGTTGTGAGTTTACAATTTACATGTTTAAATAAGTGTAATGTATAGCCCATGGCCATATTTAATTAACAATTAATTAACATTTAATTAGTATTCAATTAACAAGTCCACCTATTTAGGGGAATGGTATTCTACTTTAGCACAGTTGTGGACGGGAGGGAGTATGTGGTTTATATGGGGCGAGATAAAATGGAAAACGAGGATCTACTTAGGTGAGCATGGAGCATTGAGCATTGAGCATTGAGCATTGAGCATTGAGCATTGAGCATTGAGCATTGAGCATTTCAGCATTGAGCATTGAGCATTGAGCATTAAGCATTGAGCATTGAGCATTGAGCATTGAGCATTTCAGCATTGAGCATTGAGCATTAAGCATTGAGCATTGAGCATTGAGCATTGAGCATTTCAGCATTGAGCATTGAGCATTGAGCATTGAGCATTGAGCATTGAGCATTGTGACTGAGTACTGATAACTGTTTTACGGGTAACTGTTTTACTGGTAACTGTTTTACTGGTAACTGTTTTACTGGTAACTGTTTTACTGGTAACTGTTTTACTGGTAACAGTATTACTGGTAACTGGTAACTGTTTTAATGGTAACTATTTAAGCACACATTTGAATCTTAGAATATCAATTAAACGACAGAGGTACCCTAGGTTATTACTTTATGTTACTACAGGTGGGGTTGGCCGGAAGATGTATGGTTCCATGTTGATAAACTCTCCTCTGCTCACGTTTACCTAAGACTCAACAAGGTAAAAATTAGTTTTCGGTAATTCCACGGAAAAAATTTGGAGTTGAAAAATGGTGATCTATAATCTTCTTCCCAAATATGTCTTCGTATGACATAATCTCTTGCGCATAATCATTAATCATACAATTATATAAATGGCAAAATCATATAAATGGCAAAACAAATTAACTTTAATTTGATCCCGAGGCTAACTTTATCTTATTTAACCGTGAATTGTTTTATTAGGGGTCGTTCACATATTACGTAATCAGCCGAGGGGGAGGGGGGGGGGTTTCCAAACGATTATGCTAGTGTAATTTTGACATAATAGCTATGTGTAAAACTGATTACGGAGGGGGGAGGGGGTTACAAATTTTCCAAAAAGTGATTACCTAATAAGTGAATTGTGAAGGACCCCTTATTACTCTGAGTATTACTTAAAGTTTGTTAGATAGCTAACTGACACATTACAGGGCGAGGGTGTAGATGCCATTCCTAAAGAATTAGTAGATCAATGTTGTCAACTTGTAAAAGCCAACAGCATCCAAGGGTAAGCTTTGAAGATTTTGAGCATGTTATCAATCCTAGTTCCCATAATAATAACAAATCATAGAATGTACCCGTTATACTTATTTTGCTGTAGAATGTGTGCTTTGGATTAGTGGAATGTTATCTCTCAGATGCAAGATGGCAGCTGTTGATGTTGTCTACACTCCCTATCCAAATCTTAAGAAAACTGGTGATATGGTAGCCGGACAGGTTGGCTTCCATAAAAACAAGAGGGTTGTCAAAGTGAACGTGGAGAAGAACAACGAGGTTTGTGAAAGTGAAAGTGAATGTAAACTGTAAAGATAAGGGTCAAACTTACCGTGAAATTGGAACTGGATATATTTATTTGAGGATTAATATTTTGAGATTAAGGAAGGTGGGCGTCGAGATTATCATTCTGCTGTTTCAAGGAATGATCTGATGTTCCAAAATATTCGAAATAAGTTGGAAACTGTTGAAACTTTCTTTACTGAAATGTACTTTTAAAGGTGTGGAAGAAACTAGAGAAGACGAGAGAAGAACGGGATGTGGATCTAAAATTAGAGCGAGAAGGAAGAGATAGAGAGGTAAGCAATATTAACGAATCAAGAAATAAATCTCATATATTTTGTTATAGGTGAGATATTTCTCTGCATCTGTTTTGTTATCTGTGATATTGAATTACATTATAATTACATTATAATTACATTATAATTAAATTGATAATATTTGTATTTATAACCTCATTAATAACATTATAATAACAGGACCAAGAAGAACTGAAGAAAAGGAAGAAGGTGCAGAGAGAAATGGAGAAGGTACAAATCGAAAAAGATCGAAAAGAACGAGAAATGAAATCTTACAAACTAATGGATGCTAATCCGGACCTATGTACGTCCAATCAATTCGATAACGAATCGGATGCCGAGCGCGAGCTTGTTGATGACTTTATGTAAATTGTAATATCTTGGATTATTATTGGGGTGTATGTCCTTACAAAGCTGGTTTATTACTTTTGCAAACCCTCATGTTGGTTTGGTTGTTTGGTCCACTACTTAAATAATGAAATGAAAGATGTGTACAAATTGGTGTTTATTTGACATTTTTAATTTCGTGTTTACAATTAGCACATTCCAGCAAAAAAATTTAAAATTATTTTCATGATAATCTAAACATGCACGGAGATATGAGTCGACTGAAAATTTAATGGAAAATAACTGCAGAGTTGATTTCCGTGTTTTATGCCTTTAGAAAGTCTGCTTGAGAGTTGTTCAATTCCGGTTCTGTGTATCTTCTACCGCCTCTTTAAATATGGTGTAATGCCGGGAAAATGTCTGTCTTTGTCTTGCCTACATTCGAAAATTCTACTGCAATATAGCGGCAGCCAGAAACATTCCTTTGTCTTCAAGTCGTCAGTTTGCGGTCGGAAGTGTGTGGTCATTTGCCATTGTCGTGTAAAGGTTATTTGATATTTTTAGTCATATTATTTGTTCGACCACTGACCAGCCGAAAAAGGTTTTAATTTTAAAGTAAGTTATTTCTAATAAAAGTATTGTAACTTGTTAAATCGACGTAAATGCATACAAATTTGAAACAAATCACTTAAATTCGATATGACACAGATTTAAAAGAGAAATATTCAAATTCAAAAGTTTTAGTCGACAAAAAATTGGGTGAGAAACCCAAATGTTTTGTCGCACAAATTCTTGGGAACTAAGGTAGCTTGATCACCACATCAGAGTTTGGATTTCTGTTTAATTTGTTCCGTGGAACAACTTTTGCAGCGAATTCTGTTTTCTCCAGAATTCACTAAACGATATTAGGTGTCCCAAAATGGAACAATTTACTGAATTTAGTCGACTGTTGTATGTCCTTCTGTCACCTGGGTGCACATTTTTTTAGTTTGATATTTGTAACGCGCGATACCTTTTTTCTGTGAACCTGGCGCAAAACGCGCACTCACGCGCGCACTCGAAATCAGATCTAAGCTATATAAGCTAGCTGAGCTAGCTGCTGCAAGAAATTTCAAGCACTTTGCATTCAGTGGTTCATTTCCTGATTTGCTTCCTACTTGTTGCTTCAGTATAATACTAGTATGCAGAGTGCGTTTCATATCCCAGCTATTTGTCTGACTTATTAATGATTTTACCGTATGACTCAACCAAACCCATTTGGCTTTCTGATTAGAATTAAGAGTTCCTAATTCTGATAAACTGGACACATGAATCTCTTCACATTAACCTTAAAGCATTTCCCTCAAATCGTTCGAAATTTGAAGTCACCAAACATGATATCTTTGTCAGATGTGGCGAAGCTGAACCAGAATACCTCTGTCAAGTGTCACTGAGCGTGATGTCACATCTAGCAATTCAAGCCTTTTTGCAAAAATGAAAGGCTAAACTACGATCAGCATGAAAAGCTATCCACTAAATTTCAAGCTTTGGTTTTACTTTTAGTGAAATTTCTGGATGTTCGAAGTGTAGTATACGATGAGAATCGCTCTTTTCCTGCCCAAGTGATCTTTTCAAAATTAAAAATAGCCAATACAACCAGTACTTTCTGTGGCAAAAGTGTTTTTGCTAAGTAACACCTGTTCAGTTTCACCAATATTTCAAATTTTAGCTGTAAGGGGTCGTTCACATATTACGTAATCCATTTTCGGAACATTTTTACCCCCCCCCCCCTCCGTAATCAGTTTTACACAAGCTATTGTGTCAAAATTACACTAGCGTAATCATTTGGATACCCCCCCCCCCACAGCTGATGACGTAATATGTGAACGACCCCTAACTGTAGGGACCGTTCGCATATTATGTAATCAGCCGAGGGGGAGTTGGAGGGTTTCCAAATGGATACGCTAGTGTAATTTTAACACAATAGCTATGTGTAAAACTGCAGATAACGGAGGGGGGAGGAGGGTTAAAAACTGTCAAAAATTGACGTAATATGTGAACGTAATATGTGAAAGACCCCTTAGTGTGTATATTTACAGTATAATAACTGTCATGTGACTGGAGTCATTTGTGCATGATCAGTTTGACCACCGAGTATTTGTGATTGTTTTTGGCCACCCTGTCTGTTGCGTGTTCCTATTATCAGGCTCGAGGCTGCCGCAAAAAGGGAATGCAACGGAGTGAGGACGGAGTGCGTTGAATGGGTTACATTCAGGCTTCGTTGTTACACAACGATCGAAGATTCGGCGAAGAGAAAAGCCAGCGCACTATATATAGTTGTGATGTCACGTGATTAAGTGGGAGTTTTGTTTACACTCTGCAGTTCCGCACATCACGTTAGAGTGTAAGACTGTGTGTGTTTGTTTTTTAGAAACCGTAATCTATGTGAGCTCTGATACCGCAATTCTCTTGTTAGGTTGAGGTAGTAGGGAGGTTACCGAGTCTGTAGTTTTTCTTTCTGTAGGTGACCTAGACACTTAATTTGTGTTTAATCAACACTTTTTAAAACTTATTTCAGTCAGTTTCCTACTTTGGATATTTTATTATGTGCTGACTGATTCTGATTGACGTGAATAGAGGGGGTTTAAAATCAACAAAAACTTGTTGAAAAAAAAATAAATGTAACGATCCACAAAACAAATTATTATAAACTTTAATTCTATTCACGTCTTTTCTACAGTCTAGTTTATTTCAACAGAGGCATAATTTGGTTTTTCACAATAGCACACTAATTTCATGATAGATATGATCTCGTCCGAATCTACGTATTACACAGCTCACCAAATACAACAGGACAAAGCCAGCAATCTTAGTCATTGTGCAACGCCACCCATTGTGTGGGGGATTGTATTCTTGCTGTGATATATTAAGTCAGGTACACCTCTCCCTACATTCTCTGTACTGTTGGTATATTGGCTAATGTGTGCTCAGTGTGCATTGCACACCGCACGTGACCACGTATTTCCAGTTCCTTTCTTAGCTGCTTGATGTTAATTTGTGAGCAGTGATCCGTACATGTGATGTATGAGGCATGAATTTCATCAAGTAGGATTTTGTTTTTTCCCCGTTTGATTTGCCATGATAGCGCAAAATCGAAATGCTTTCTTTACGTTGTATGGAACAAATAAAATTAGGCGGATGAGAGACTGTTTGGCTTTTAAACTTACTTTAGAGTAAGTTTGGCTGGGCTCGCATCCGACTAGAGTTTTCTAATATACAACCTCCGTTTTCTCAATTCTCATGTATCGGCTACTGTTCATTTCTGGAGTGTCCGTTGGAGAAAGGAGTTATTGTTAATTGGTTAGATTACCATTTTTAGAGAACATTACTCCTCGTTTGTAACTGCCTGAACTTTAAACTTGCGTTACCAAGTTTAGAATGTTGAGTCGTTGAGGCATAGTCCCTCACTATACCTGCTTTTAGAGTACTAAAACTTACATTTTACAGTTACACTGACATCTTTTATAACCATATTTCACATTGTGTTACTCTTTTCAGTTGAGTTGGTTACACTGTTCAGTGTTTTGTTATTAGCCTGGATTGTTCACATATTGATATTGCGTAATCACCTTTCAGTCAATACATAACCTCCCTCCCCTCCGTAATCAGTTTTACACATAGCTATTGTGCTAAAAATACACTAGCGTAATTATTTAGAAACCCCCTCCCCTCAGTGATAACGTGATATGTGAGCGACCCCATTTCTAGCCCTTTTGTCGAATTAAAATACATCAATTACTGGACATTTAGTGACTCAACTAACAAGACTAATTTATTTTAGAGAAGACAGATTTAGCAAAGATAGACTAGCTCATGCTAGGTAGATAATGTCAAATCCCGTAACCCAGGAGTCCAATGAATCGGTTCGTTAACGTTCAACTTTATACAATTAATTATATATGTTGAATTCTGTAAAATTTAACTTAACTTATCTGATTTACCCTAACTCTTGAAGTCAATTTAATTTTACGGTAACTCCTCCTAAAATTATCAAGTTAATTAAAAGTAAAATGATTACGGTAAATATTTTAAAAGTTATTTAGCGTTTGGTAATTGAATGTAAAATAATGACTACCACCACAGGTAAGACCGCCTCAAGAAGCCATATCTCCCCGACCTCGGAGTACCGCCACCCAGCCCCCCAAGAAAGAGTTCTCAATATGGAAGGACTTCCTATCACCCATCTTCTGCTGCAGACCCCCGTGCTCTGCATGCTGTTCTAAAGAGGGCTATCAGGTTAAATTTACAAACTGTATTGGAATATCATCTATATTTTTGATGAAGTCGTGAGGGTTATCTGCAAAGTATGATTTTCTCAAATTTGCCGACTTAAAGAGCGGAATTCTTCTTTGCTCTTAATCTACAAATTTGTCATTCGAGAAGAATTTGACGATGTTCTGGAATACGCTACTATCGTAGTTTTACCAACTTATTCGCAGGAGATAGGCCCAGAGACAGCAGAAGAAATGACCCAGAGAATTCAAGATTTACACTCGATGTACGACCGACTAAACGAGCAGTTGCAAACAGTGCAGAGCAGCAGTGAGATGCAGAGGATACTCCAGGAGAGACTGGTGGAACAGGTCCACGAGCTCGACGATCTGATCAGTAACAACAAGAGTCAACTCTATACTGAACTGCAGGTACTGTGCTGATTGGTTATCTAGACCAGGGTCAAGTGGGCTGCAGCAATTAATATGCCTCTTCATTATCTTTAGATGTTTAATTTGGTTGGCAGCAACGTTCATTGCAGCTGAAAACAAAGGATGGTGAGGGGGGGGGGGGGGCGGGGGGTATGATTTAGCTGTTCTCAGCTGTTAAAGCCTTGCAAACACAAATTCCAGTTAGCAAGAAAAAAGGTTATACTTTAATTAGGCGTGCTGTAATAATTCCTAATGTAAGCACAGAAAAAGCACAAAGCCCATAGTAAGCATTTTATGCGAACCTAGGAGCTAGCAGACAGAGAGGAATACAACAGAGGTGAGTTGAGGGACGCCCTGTTGGGATACCTGGAGGAGGACAGGCTGAAGGAGATAGAGGACGTTCTTACAGGTAAAATAGACTTAATGTTATCAACTTATTAACTAATTAACTAATTAATTAATTACCTTATTAACTAATTAATTAACTAATTAACTAATTAATTAACTTAATGTTACTACTCCGGACTTAGTTGTTTTCAGATGGGGTATAGGATTAATATTCTTTTGTTCATAGAATGAAAACTTATTATAAAACTTATTCGCCAGGAAGGGATTTAAATCGTTAAACCAAAACTTAATCTGTAAAAATATCTTTTGTCGCCTTTTGCATTTGTAAGTTACAATCGGTTAACTGATTTCAACGCAATATACATATAAAAATTAATCGTATTAGGCCACTCCAACAACAGCGCCCAAATGGTAGAGCAGATATTATCAGTAAAGAGCCGAGTAATTTGCTTTGAAGAAGATGTCGTTGAATTAACCAGAGCAATTTCCAGCCAAGCTGAGAGTGTCGAGGTGAAATTTGTGGGTTTTGAACACAAGGAAATATTTTGGCCTTGCGTGTGAATTCTCTTATGGAAGAAATATCGAATACTTCTGGTTTCAGAAACATGTATATTTGCTCTGGTTTGGCTTTTGATCCGCTGGTGTTCTGCTTCCAGACGAATACGGAACAACCCTTCATTGTTGACCTGGAGTGAAAAGCCTGACACATTTAAAGCATTTCTAGTGAACTACAAGTCAACATCCAAAGCACATTTTTTGTTTAATGAATACCTTTTACAATTTTATTTATTTTTTGCAATAAATTATTAAAACACAAGCCTCAATTTTCATTTCACTTCTTCTCCAGCATATCTATCGAAATCTTCTTAAAGTCTATTCCATTTATGATTGTTTAGGTTCTGTGTTTATAGTCTAGTTCTCTGCAATTTCTTTACACCACACTATATAATAATTGCTGACTTCATGCTGTGTTTTAGTATGGGGTCGTTCATATATTACGTAATCATTACCCCCCCCCTCCGTAATCAGTTTTGCACATAGCTATTGTGTCAAAATTACACTAGCGTTATCATTCGGAACCCCCTCAGCTGATTACGTAATATGTGAACGACCCCTATGTTAGCAGAAACATGTTTTCCGAATAGACTCAGGATACTGCTCTTACTCTATTCAGAAAAAATTAAAACCGTCACCTTATTTTGTTTCAGAAGTTGGATGCGAGAATTCTAACTTGTGAGAATCGAGCGGGTATCGGTGAAGAGGAGAAAGCTCTACTATTAGAGGAAGTCAAACAGTAAGTAATCTAGATTCCTCAGTCCGTTGTACAATGTACAGCCTGTGTTTTGAAGCTGTTAAGTGGTTCAAAACGTATTTTAAAATCATATGTCTCAAATACGAGATGGAATAAGAGATTATTTGCATGTAAATGAATTACGTTTGGTTTTCTAGAATGTAATAAGCAATCATTGGTTAGGAATAATATAATGAATGATATAGGAATATATGTATTATTGTAACGGACTCAGTTTATTTGACAACTTTAGTAACTCCACTACCCCAGGAATTCAGTGTTGCTTAAAGAACAAGAGGACGCCACATTGAATAGAATTTCCCATCTGGAGTCTACCAACGAGCTACTGCTCGCTAAATTTGAGAATGGAGAGGACGGACAAAAACAAGTTGACTGTAAGTAGAAATATCCGATAAAAATAGGAACGTCTCTTGACTTTTTCCTTTTATAGAACCGTCATATTTTATAACTCAAACTGCCCACTTTTAAATTGAAGATAAATAATCAGAAGTTGATGTTCGACAAATAAGGTACACCAACTTGTTTTCACTATTCAGAAAATAGATTAAATTAAAGAATCAGCTGATAACTAAGCATCCCAATTTCAGCTGCGTTTATAACACGTCTAGCTGAAAACGACCGAGAACAATCCTTGATAAAGACGAAGCTGGGCTCAGTTGAGAGGAAGGTGGACACTCTGGCTACCCGGGGTTACGTGGACAATCTTGTCAAGTCACTGGAGGGTAAATCAGTTTGAAAATTTATTTAGGGTTTTAGTAAATGAAAGGTCTTGAGTGGTTTTCGGTAAGTGTGATATCGTTCCTAAACGATCATAATATTGTCCAATCATATTGCTAAACAACTATTTATGACCATCATTATTTACGTAAGTAAAATACCATGGCTTATTTACCCCATATTTGATTAAGCTGATAGAATACAATACATTACATTTACAGATGATAGGAACCAGTTCATCACTAAGTCAGTTGAGCGAACCACACTGTTCCACATAGAGCAGAGCAAGAAGGAGCTAGCTCAGAAGCAGGCATTGAGGATTGGGGAGATAGAGGGAAAGTTGGAGGGGCTGAGGGTGCTCGTTACTGGACTGGTAAGTGGGGGGTGTTTCGGCATTTCTTACTTGATATTGGACACAATTTATCACTTTGTGGTTTATCTCAGTATGACTCTATAGTGTTCCGGATTCCTAGGCTAAAGTTAGTTTCCAGAACATATTGTATTTAAGATGTCTTGTTGAAGGACTTCATAGCCAATGCGATGGTTTACTGTCTCGTTTCTAATTCCATCTGTAGGTGAAGTCAGTTGAAACCAGAGACTCAGAGCTTACTCATATGAATAAATCTTACTTTGACGAGCTACAGAGACATGTTGATGATACTAGTGAGGAACTCAGACGAACTTTCGCCGGTAATTACAGTTTATTAACTGATTGTATTGGAGTTAGATCATTATCTTTATTTAGATTTCATTCATGTTGTATCAATCTGTTGATCTGTTCAAAATTATTAAAAAGTCCATATCATGAATCTGTACGAGCAAATTTCAGAGTTTAAGGTTGTGAAGAGGAACTTTGAAGAGCAGCATCGCAGAATGTCGTCCCTGGAACGAACTTTAGATAAAACAGGGTAAATTTATTGACTTTTAACCAGTGAATGCTAGCGCAAAAGCATGTCATTGTCAACAACCATATAATATGGATGTATAGAATTAACCACTGTTTTGTCTGAAAATGGACGAGTAAACAATCATTATTATTCATCGTGACATCACTAAATCTCCCAAACCATTGTGATCACTTTATATTATCAGAGATATGACAGCAATGGAGGATGATATTCACGTGCTGGCAAAGAAACTAGATCGTCTAGAGAACAGAGTGGAACATGTGGTGGACAAAGTGGTCGAGCTGGGGGACAGATCACCCAGTCCTGAACTGGACGATCTGGCCAGACTCAAACGTGACCTTAGAAAAGGTGTGTGTGTGTGTGTGTGTGTGTGTGTGTGTGTGTGTGACTGTGCCGGAGGGTTATAAATTTTCATGATGATAAATGATGAAAAAGTTGTATGATGAATCTGGTCGAGAAATTGGAATATTTCACCATGATAACCCTCCGTCTGTACTGCCTACATTGCATTTGTATTTCAAGTTTGCTAGCTTATAATTAGTCCAAAATATCCCATTAGCTTCTAATCGTTTTTATTCCAGGAACCAAGCCACTCAACCCCTCAAGTGCTCGACGACGAAACGACTCAAGTTTAAGTGAGGACACAAGTTTATCAAGTTTAGCGTAAGTTTATCAATTTAAATTCCCGACTCACAATTATTAAATCTTACTCGATGTCTTCAAGGAAATAAATGTTGTCAATCTCTGTTTCCCACTTTAATATTACCAAATGATTTTGATTAACGAGGATATTATTTCAGTGCTGACCAGAATGTCACACCAGTGGACCCAGGAGCAGGAAGAAGGAAGCGCCAACTGAGTGGTCTTGGTGATAAATCAGCCCTCGCACAGTGATCTTATCAACCAACCGGCAACCGTCATCAGCTTTAGCACCGTTCAGACGAGAGCACCGCCATCCACCACCTTTATTATTTGATTGTCACCTATGCGAGGGCCGGGGAATCCTCGCCAACCATAGTGCAAATATCAGATCCAGTTTACTAAAACCATTACACAACGGTTTTGATCGAAGAGACGGCTGGCGCCTTCTGGCAAGCATCATAGAGTTTAGTAGATCAGTTTCTGTTTTCAAGGCCTATATTAGAGCAGTATCAGTTTCTGTTTATGTCGCTTTCTATAAATAGATTCTCTGTCTCACACGGTTTGGGATGGTAGTCAGTGTAATAAGCGCCAAGCGCGAGCACAGAACTTTTTTTCTCCGATTTCGATAAATTTGGTACCAAAATTTGTCTAAAAATGTGAATAAAATAAATCCACCGTGTAGCAATTTTCGCTAAAAATGCTACACGGCGCTTGTTCGCCGCGCGTGCTTTTTTTGCGCAAATTTTTAGTTTTTGGCCTATAACTTTCACATTTTCAGTTATTATCACATAGGTAATTATTATGGCATCGTAATCAGCTCATCGAGACGAAACTTTTAGTACTAATATTTTAAGATTTAAAGGAAAATTATTTTCAAAATTTTTCAATCTGAACAAAAGGATCCCCCCTTGTGTGAAATTTTGAACAAATTTTTGAAAAATTTGGTGCTTCAAATATTATAATTTGTGTACCAAAAGTTGCGTCTGACTAAGCTCATTACGATACTGTAATAATTATTTCAAAATATTCAATATTTTAGGAGTTATATGCATTTTAAGCATAAATTACCCATTTTTCGTCCTTTGTACATTCTTGTAATGCACAGGAGGCCCACATATAGCTCGACGTTATTTTGCTACACGGTGAATTTGCATTATTCAATTCATACTTAGAGGCAACTTTTGGTTCCAAATTTATCAAAATCAGAGACAAAAAATTCTGTGCCAACTCATGGCGCTTATTACATAGACTATGGACACAAAGAGTAGATCTTAGCTTGTCCTTGTACATAGTAATGAAGATGGAAAACAATATGCAATGAAAAAGCTTACAAAATTAATCATTGTGCACAGGGGTGTAGGAATGATTTTCTTCATGGGGGGGCCAAATTCTAAATTTTTTTTGGCGCTTCGCGCCAAAGCCTGAATTTCGAGGGTAAGGATAAAAGATCCTGGCCTCACGACAAATCGCGATTTTTTCAGTTCTTCGCGTCAAATTGCGCATTTTCCTTTAAATCTGAGGACCAAATTTGCGTATTTTCCTTCAAATCTGTGGGCCAAATATTACGTTTTCTATAATTAGTACATGAAACCGATCAGTATCACATCCACAACCTTCCGAATGTAGGTACGGACTTCAAAAAAAACCAAAAAATATATTTTCGGCCCAAAACGATCAGGGTAGCATGAAACATGAACTAAAGTAACTTCCAGAAAAACTTTGAAAAATTTCGACTTTTCGAAAATTTTCGGTCCGAGTTGTTCTCGATACGTACCTCTGAAAGCAGAGCTCCCGCTTCCGAGCTCATTTTGCGAAGGGGAGGCCTGCCTTCCGAGATCGCATTACAAATGGGAACCCTCGAGTCCAAAATCATATATCGAACTTCGAAAACCGAAAAAAATCGTATATCGAAGGGGTAAGTAGGACTTCGAAAACCGAAAAAAATATTTTCGGCTCATAATGATCAGGGTAGCATGAAACATGAACAAACGTAGTTTCCAGAAAACTTTGAAAAATTTTGACTTAAAAAATTTTCGGTCCGAGTCATTCTCGATACGTACCTCTGAAAGCAGAGCTCCCGCTTCCGAGCTCATTTTGCGAAGGGGAGGCCTGCCTTCCGAGATCGCATTACAAAGGAGAACCTTCGAGTCCAAAATCGTATATCGAACTTCGAAAACCGAAAAAATATTTTTGGCTCATAATGATCAGGGTAGCATGAAACATGAACAAAAGTAGTTTCCAAGAAAACTTTGAAAATTTTTGACTTATAAAATTTTCGACTTACAAAATTTTTGACTTGAAAAATTTTTTCCCAAAAATTTTTAGAAACCTAAATTAAAAAGTTGGCCCTTTTTGGCCCCTTGCCCAGATTTCATGGGGGGGGGGGGGGGGGGGGGGGGCGATGGCCCCCCCTGCCCCCCCGCTTCCTACACCCCTGATTGTGCATTGTATTTTCAATTGTTTAAAAATATCATCTTTATGATCTATTGTACAGATTTATTGGTCAATGGTTAGTAGGGGGGGGGGGGGGGGGGGGGGTACCCCCCGTTAGTAGCATAACTTGGGCATGTTTCTGTTCAACTCGAAATGTATGCACTTGTACAATGTACTCAGGGGTTTTTTCGCAGACGTATCCAGGAGATATGGTTACGATTGATCGTAATTAGTTACTTTACTTTTAGCTGTTAATAATGAATATTTGTAAACAATTCTCATTGGATTAAATTCGAATTTCGATTTTTAATTTGTGATCAGGACGTATAGTAGACAAATTTATGGCTTTTTAAAAGCCAATACCTAAAATTTCTTTTTTTGAATTTCCTTACCGTAATTCGTAATACGAATTACGGGAATTAAAAAAAGGAATCCTAGGAATTGGCTAGACTGTCGACCGAGATGCAAGTTCAATAGATCAATTTTGACGTGAAGATGAAAAATAAGAAACAATACTTTGCCGCTCAAAGGATCAATAAATAACTAAGTCGAAAACAATCATCAAGAAAATCAGAAACTTATTTGTTTGTTTGTGGGGCACCCAGAAACTAACATAGCTAAAAGTAAAACATCAAAACAGCTGTAAATGATTTCCCCCTGATCTAGAAAATCAACCTAGAATGATATTCATTTCAACAGTCACACAAGCAGATTCAATCAATAATTTATATGTTTTTATGGTATTTACTCGAAAACATTCCCAACATTTTTAATCAAACAGTCAAAAATATTAGTGTGGTATTATAAGGACACCTAATGAAATTGTTAAGATTCACATTAAAACATTCCCAAACTTTTGAATCAAACAGTCAAACAAATTAGTGTGGTCTAAGGATGCCAATTAAATGAAATTGTTCAGATTTCTCATTGCTCCTACTCCTAACAGTTCTCCCAGTGGTATCTACAGTGTGTGAAAGAAAGTGTTATCTAGATCTCCAAGTCAGAGATATGCTGGAGGTAAGTTTTGTGCAGCTTTTCCTGAGCTGCTTGTAGTTTCTTAAGTTTCTTCTGTTGTGATTTGGGTACCTGGGTTGCAGATGGTTTTGAACTTATGGGGCTGCAGATGAGGCAACAATAAATTGAGAAAAAAAATATAGATTGCAAATTTGTACGAAGACGACCCCATAAATAAACGAACTATCAGTCATTAATTCGTGTCCGACAATAAAAGCAACACCACTGAAAAATCAGCTGGGACAATTAAACAAACCCCCACCTCGACTCCCTTTGCATCGTGCGTAGGAAAGCCCTGGTCGTCCCAAGCTGAGTACTGCGCTGTCCGGAACATCTCCAGAGGTGGCACCTTCCCTTTCTCTAGCTTCTCTTTAGCAGCCTTATCTCGTGCTGCTGCTCTCTCCGCCTGTAAAGAGCATCAGGTAAACTGGCAGTATTTGTCATTGTTTAAACTGGAACCAAACATTTAGATTGGGTTTAAATTCTCAGAGCAAACAATTATGATATCATTTACAATTCATATACCCGCCTCTGCTTTTTAGGAAGTAAATTTTGTTGCAATTTTTATCCACCTCCCAGGTGATTCAATATTTATGTTCTTATTCATCTGCTATACTTAATACTTATAGGTTAACTTTGTTATATAATTATATCGTTCAGTCTGGTATAGTCTGGTATAGTATACTTTAATTAACCAATACTTTACACCTAATATAACTCCACCGATTTGCAGTAGGTCCACTAATCTACTCATCTCACATTCATCTACCTCTTATCTTTACACACCATAATGCACTCTTCGCACAGTTCGCATCTAGTTTCTCATTACAGCTGGTAAAAGCTTGTAACAAGTGGAACTAGTTTTACCAAATCTTTACCTCTAATATATTCTCACACCTGAAGTGGAAGGTACAGGTACAGGTGAAAACTGACCGATCGTTAGACCAGTTTTGTATGTTTCAGGTACCAATTTATTGCCGCTTCAGCTTCACAGTTCAGACTTAATTACATATCTGTTATCAGTGTCACATGATCACTCCATCCTTAAGGGGACATATACAAAAAGCTTTTATATCCTGACCATGCTGTTAACCAAAAAGTTTGATATGATCATCAGCTACAGTCACAAAGATTTTTGAAGCGATATCTGCTGACCCGGGTGATTGGTGAAATGTATAACTTAAGAAGTAGTCAAAAATTGTACGGATTGTAAGTAATGTTCAGGAAAAAAAATCAGCCAAAAAACGTTAAAAACGACTGAAATATCGGTATAACAGTGACAGACTTCTCAAAATTTTCAAAATTTTCGAAAAAGAAAAAATTTATTTTTTCGAAAGTGAGTGTCCTCAAAAATAATTTTTAATGTATCAAATCTTATTGTTTTGATGTATACTTTCTTAATATGAAGTTAACAGCATGGTCAGGACATAAAAGCTTTTTGTATATGTCCCCTTAAATCCCTCATCCCGACGCGACATGTTTAACTCGATAAACCGAAATCAATTTTTTTCCTGAAATTAAAAAAATTCCTGATCGATATCCGGCCAAGAACCTTCTAAACCGGATTTATTGAAGACAGATATCCGACCAGAATCTATCAGACTGTGTTGTGAGTGGAATTAGTAAATAACCGGTCAACAGCAACTGGTTTTATTAACGGCTGGGGAAGGTTGGGGGGAGTTTTAGGAACAGGGTGTGTGTATTTAGTGTTTTACTCTGGTTCTTATTTGGTAATACCTTAACGGACCTTATTTGAACGGACATTAATTGAACGCTGGAGGTCCTAGCGTTCATCTTAATGTCCGTTCAATTAAAGTCCGTCCGTTTAAGGTCCGTCCAAGTTAAAGTCCGTTAAACCTCCACATCTTGTAAAAGTTTACACTGAAATGTAGGACCACCGGTGGTCAAAAGAAAAATTGTTTTCAAAAAGCAGGTATTACTGATATGATGCTTTTTTAAGCATGGAATATTTAATGCACGATAACCCATTTGAGGAAGATGACCTGTGATATGATCATCAAATCTGGTAATATTTCGTATTAGTTGTTTTAAAAGAAATTTCATAATCATAGCTATAGATATTTTGACATTTTCAAATAAGGTCCGCGTCAGATATAAAGTATACATTTATCACATGCCTTCTCATGCGATATCAAAACTTTCGCCAACGAGGCCAAATTATCGAAAGTTTCGATATTTCCCGAGGGTTATTACACTTTCTTTGGAGCCAAATTTTGCCCGGAAAGCAGAATATGATCAGACGTTGGTTATGTATCCCACCAAAACAAAACTAGACATGTCGAACGTATTTATGTTTATGCTGTCCAAGCTATAAATAGCTCTCATTAGGTAAGTATTTCGGAACTGGAAGTGGAAGGAAGGCACACAACCATTATGCTGACTTGGCTGCCACTCAGGGGCGCGAACTCCTCACGTCGCATTGTTGAGACATATCTTCCTAGAACAAATTACAATCATGCTTTGTTGCCCCGTTTTGTTTGAGAAGCTCAATTGATACTCTCGGTAGATTACTGGCGTCCGGTATTCTTTTTTATACTTGTAGATTTAATGGCACCCGCTATTGGCCCATGCTATTGTTTGGCACCCGCCATTGTTTATACTTGCCCCTGTTAAATAACTGCAGACCAGAGGAGACTTGAGGAGTCTTCGCCCCAAACAATGAGCTGACAAAATTTGAATTTTTGATGGTTTTGAATGCCTTCGAGGCTCGAGCGTTCATTTTAATTTCCGTTCATAATTATGACCGTTCATTTAATGTCCGGTTAAATAAGGTCCGATAAGGTAGGTTTATTTTTGCTTTGTTCCATAACTGTATTCATAACATTGCTTGTCTACGATATCATGAATGAATCGAATGAGATCGATGTTTTCTTTCGGTACATTTCAACCCATTTCAAGCATGATAATATATACAGTAAAATCCCGATTTACCGCAGAGCTTGGGGGAAAGGAAACATCCGCGGTAAATCGGGGTTTACGGTAAATCGGGGTTTTGTTTTGTTACTTTTATGCACGTTAAGCTCTATTTGGGGGAAGGAGATGGCCGCAGTAAATCGGGGTTTGCGAGAAATCAGGTCGCAGTAAATTGGGGTTTTACTGTACCAACTAATACAGAAGCTGACCAATCCTTAGGGGTCGATCACAGATTACGTAATCAGCTGAGGGGGGCGGGGGAAGGGGGTTTTCCGAATGATTACGACCCCTTAGTTCGTCCCAGTAGAAGGAACAGTTATTTTAATTGTTTCTTTGATTTGTAAATTGATGTATATTGCTATTAGAAATAGAGAACAAAGGATCAGAATTACATAATATATAATTATGATCCTTTGTTCTCTATTTCTTTATAATTATATTTATGTACGTTTTATCATTGCTTGTAACAGTGTAACAACTAACACCACGTTATGATTGTATGTACATTCTACGAATGCATCTGGCAGATTGTTTTGCATTTAGAATTACGCACTTAAAACTGTAGTAACTAGTGCCAAATGTTATAATTTCGCTGAAGCTCAACTTTTCACCAGCACAGGCAGATAACTAAACAAACATGGATGAAGATGAAATAAAGGAAATCACAACCAATGAAGACACCACCAATACCAAATATGGGTCAACCTCACAAGCGTCGGATGAAAAGCTGCTTGAACTGAACGAGATCTATGAAATGATAGGACTTGGTCCTGCACAATATCTTTACTGGACCTTAGTTGCTCTGGTTACGTATTCTGACTATGCTGAATTAACACTTTTGGCAGTTATTATTCCATCTTTGAGATGTGAATGGGGACTTACTGCAAATTTTGAAGCAGCTATCACAATATCAATGTATGGCTCTTATGCGCTGTTTGCAATAATGTTCGGAAAAGTTGTAGATACATACGGAAGGAAAACTGTGATTCAATGGTCGACACTTTTGTTGTTATTGGCAGCAATTTGTGGCGCCTTATCACCAAATAAGTGGGTCTTTCTTGCAACTAGGTTGGTGACTGGTGCATGCATTGGTATTAATCTCAGCTGCATAGTGTGCTACACCGCTGAGTTTGCTGAAAGCAAGTACCGAGTCATTGGTGTCCTAGCGTTTTCGTTAGGGACATGTGGTGCCTTCGGAGCAGTCAGCGGAGTGGCATTTCTAGTCCTAAAAAATGTTGGATGGCATTGGTTAATCATCATTGTATCACTGCCTGCTGTCCCTGCTTTAATCTTGATTCTAGCTCTTCCCGAATCCCCTCGATTTCTGTGTGTCAGTGGACAACAGGAGAAAGCTTTGAAAGCTGTCAGGACCATGGCCAAGCTAAACGGAAGAAAATTGCAGGAAAACATTAAAATGGCCTGTTTTGTTGACGAGGAACTGGGGTCATACACCAAGACCTTGAACAAGGACAACAGAAAGTCAACCATCGCCCTCTCTGTCATGTACTTCTGCAATATTTTCATCGAGTTTGGCCTGATAGTGTGGCTACCCCTGATGTACAGTGCTAACATGTGTGGAGCAGCTCAATCACCACAGCATAAATGCCAAAGCTTGACACAAGATGATCTGTTGAAGTTGACGATCGTCAGTGGAGGAAGTATTTTGGGTTCAACAGCGGCTGTGATTTTAGCACAGTGCATAGGCCGGCTCATACCAATTAGAGTGGCAAGCTTAATCATGTTGCTATCGATAGCAACACTATTTGTATGTGTTAATGAATCGTTTACGTTTGCAACAACTATGATTGCTAAAATTGTAGAGGCCTTTGTGAATACTACACTTTGGATCATGATACCAGAAAGTTTCCCCACTTGCATCCGATCAACAGCAACTGGTTTCATCAACAGTTGTGGAAAAATAGGAGGCGTTTTCGGGACGGCGTGTGTCTATTTATTGTTCTATGTGAGCCCCTACTCTGTGGTTGGTATCTTTCTTTTTATTTCTTTCGTTGGATTTGTGGGGACAATGGTGTACGATAGGGAGACTAAGTATGAGATTCTTCAAGAGAAGTGAAATAAAACATTTTAGAGACTGCAGATGTAGCGAGATCTTATTTGAAAAATTATAAAAATGTTGTGTATCAACCCCTGCAAAAATGTCCAATTAGAGTATCCCAGATGTTAAATTTCAAAAGCGATGCTAAATTATGTCAAAGCTTCGATCGTTCCATGTTTGTAGGTAAAAATCAGGGACAAAAGGATTTCTCGATTATTTTGGCCATATTCTTGGCTCAACATTTAAGAAATCTTTATAAAATATGCTTTTGGTGGTGGTTTTAACAAAATATGATACTCAATATTCGGTTGCAATTTCCGACCCCAACCATTGTTTAAGTTAAAGTTTAAATTAATTATAGATATTGAGTTTGACATAGGCACATTATATACACAGTACTCTTTATTATACATGGT